TTTTCCTCCTTCATTATTCTGAGCTAGCAAACTCCCAAGTTTTTCAGGCTTGGACATCTTCTTAGTGTTGTCGGGCAAGATCACTTGAGCCCTCACTAGCTCCTCATAGATGTCAGCAGCCTTAGTTAAGTCGAAAGGGTATGATTGATACTTTGAGGGCTTGATAAGAACAAGTCCTCCATCATTCATCATAATCTTCTGATCCTTGATTAGTTAAACCAAACCCTTCACTGTTAAAAGTTTGAAAGGAGTAGTCATCTCTGCAGCGCACAACTCTATTCCTTCACCCAAGTTGTCATCATTTTCCCTTGTCTCCAAGCCTTCAAACTTTAACTAATGTATTGGTGCTTTATTTCCATATAAATGAGGTCTTTCTAAACCTCATCATAAAATCATCTGTAAACTCATGTTTATATTACTTTACCTCTACTAAGTCATTAATAGTCATCTCAGGCTCCACTCTATAGAACTGCTTATGAAATGCCATCTTTATCTACCCCTAATTGGTAATAGAATTAGGGGGTAACTAAGAGTATCATTGGGAAGCCAATCCCACTAGAAAGTTCCCAAACAATCTTAACTTGTAGTTAGGATTATCCTCAAAAGCCACACAGTAATTCGAGAATTTAAAAATATGGCCTCTAGAGGACACATTACAATCTTCCCCATATGCAGGTACGGCTTCTGGTATGTGACCCTAAATATCGAAAGGGCTTGTGGTTGAGCATTTTGCATCACCATTCTCTTTAACTCTGCCAGTTCATTCTTGAGTTACTGATTGGCCATGTTGTTCTTCGGGGAAGAAGAATTCCTCCATTTCATACCATGGTCTATTCCCGAGAAAACATCTCTTGATGTATCATGCTACCTTCAACTAGTTTCTCTTCCCCCTTATTAACTAATGGTGGTGGTCGATAAGGTGAAGGTTTTCTTCCATCATCGGGCAAGCTTTTGGTACTAATGCCCTCACTTGGGTTGGATGCACAAAGTTTTATTACATCTTGCCCATCTGGCTTCCTGACCTCTAATGGTGGTGGTAAAAGGTCTAGCAAGCCTGACTCTTATGGCTCTTCTCTAATGTCTTCTTGGTGACTGGTTCCCGTCTGCTCATTTTTCTTTCCTTTATCCTCTTTCTTCCCAAGCAAGGGGAACTGGGGGGTAGTTGGTTCTTTCTCCAAATCTAAAACTATACCTCCTTCATTAACAGCTTCATCCTCTGGTGGAGAGTATTCTAACTCCAATTTTCTTTACAACGTCCCTGTCAAAAAGCATAGCTTGCTAACTTCCCCCACGGTTTCTAGGGAGATTTTTTCCATACTTCTCAGCACTTGCATTATGGTCGCTTGCAAGTCTTCATTAGTTACTTTTCCTCCAGACTTTTAGAAGAAGTCGGGCTCTTTATGATCCTGGGACTGAGTGGGGAGAGAAAATATCCTGGCTGATCTGTCATGTCTGCTTCTGTCGGGCAAAGAGGTTGCTCGAATTCTACCTTTCACCTGAATGTTCGATCCTTCATTTGTCTTAGCATACAATATTACAAGATATCGTCCCACCGAGCGTGCCAAAATTATGTTCAAGCTAGATTGTCCCTTGCATAACTTCTCTTGTCTTGCCTGTCGAGCAAAGTTTAGTGCTTAGTTTTCTACAATATATGTTTGTCATTAGTTTGAATGATGCCTTTGTGTGACCTTTGTTAGGCTTTAAGGCTTACAATCAAAACTAATATAAGTCTGAGCGTGCCCCTGTTTTCTTTGTTTAGCTTGGTTGTTCAATAAATGTTTACTTGCACCACAAGTCACTTAGACTCCTTGGTTCATAAGGATTGTTCATAGATAGGTTAAGTTTGTACTAAGTTCTTTTCTTGCCTTTAGATCAAGGACTTTATTTATAATATCATATGTTCGTTTCAGAAGGATTTCAGGGTCACTCAAATTAGTTCCTTAGTTATCAGTTTAAGCTAACAACGAGAAAACAAGATTAATCATTTTGACAAGATTAATCATAAATAAAACTTGAACAGAAGTAGTTGAAAATGACATAGGATCTTGTTAAAGATGAATAAACAACAGATCTACTTTATATAAAGACAAATAAAGGAGACTCGAGCAAGATTACAACCTTGTCGGGCAAGGTTCATCTTCTTGCAACCACTTCTCCTTGTATTTTACAGAGCCAAATGTCTTGGAAAATGAGATATAAACAAGGTTTACTAAAGGGATTCGATACTACAACAAAGGGAAAGGTAGCAAAGCTTCTAAAAACTGACAAAAGAGAACTTTCTATGGTGGACCTACAACTGAAAAAGGGTAAAGGATGAACAAACTTAAAGCTATCTGGTTTTGCTATTAAGTTCAAAGTTGAGTATGTTTGAGAGTTGAGAAAGTTGTTTACTTGCATCCCTTGCTGCTTTTATAGACTTCATAGTCCGAGTGTCCAAGCTTTCTCTTTTGGTGATGGCTTCTAGAGTATGGTGAGTCATCATCTGCTTTGTTAATTACCTACCCATGCCATGAAAAAGTGCTTTTTGCTAAGGGTAAGTTGCCCTTTGTCACCTGTCATTTCTCACACAGGCTTGTTGCCTATTGGTTGCTAGAAATGATTTTTAAATTCATCCTGGGCTGCCACCTTTCCCAGCCCAATTCCTTTCTGATTTTTGCACACATGGGCCTTCAATTGCATTGAGCCCAATATTAAATATCCACCAAACACTCAGATGTTAGACAAGATGTGACAAGCAGACAAAAGAAATCGTATAATAGTAGACCTGGCATTCATGTCATGTTTTCCATATGTGTGTCGTTTTCGTGTCATACCCGATATCTTAACGGGTCGTGTCGTATAATACCCGTTAAAATAAACGAGTAAAATAACCCGACCTGAAATCGACCCGATAATATTAACAGGTAATATAACCTGACCCGTTAATCGTTAAGGAAAATATATTTTAAACCAATAAATAATCAAATGAAAAACATAATAGTAAATAAGTATATACATATCATATTGTCACATCCAAAACATAAAAACGCATTTTCCTTTTAAGTATATTTTCACTTACCTAAAGTCTTTAATAGTTCTTTAATTAATGTAGAAGTGTAAAAAAATATAGAAATAATATATAAATGCTCGTAATGACAAGCTTTACAACTTTCAAGAAGAGCTTAACTTCGAAATTCGCCACTATAATCATATAAATCATAGATCAAAATTTAACCGTTGATTGTTGTTTACATTTACGAGGTAAAGTAGGAGTAGCCGAAATTGAAGGAAAGATGAGAGAAAATCGGTTCCGGTGATTTGGACATGTGCAAAGAAGGCCGACTGACGCTCCGGTGACTACGGGACAGAGGTTCAGGGCCGAAGGGGTAGAGGAAGACCTAGGAAAACTTTGGAAGAGACTCTAAGAAAAGGCTTAGAGTAATTGGATCTAACGGAGGACATGACACAAAACCGAGCGCAATGGCGTTCTAGGATTCATATAGCCGACCCCACTTAGTGGGAAAAGGCTTTGTTGTTGTTGTTGTTGTTGTTGTTGTTGTTTACATTTACGCTTCATTGTTCTCATCAATTTTTTTTTTCAGATTTTCTTTTTTGAAAACTTGATCTATTAGAGGATGCAGGAAGATGAACAATTTGGATCGTTGATATTATATTCAGAGTTTTACGATTAGTGAAAATATTGCTTGATGTTTATAAAGTTTCTACTAACTATATAAAGTTTCTACAAACTATATGACATCAACTCATATTTCAGTTAACCGTAAATATCAAAACGTGATATCAAAGATCTGAACGTTCATCTTCTTACATCCGCCAGATGATCATGTTTTCAAAAAATAAAATTTTAAAAATGAAATTCAGTAAGAAGAATAAAGCGTAAATGGCAATCAACAGTTAAATATAAATTTAAGGTTTATGAATTATAGTGTTGGATTTCGAAGCTGACCCCTTCATGAAAGTTGTAAAGTTTGTCACTATGAGTGATTGTATATTTTTTTTTACATTTTTTACACTTCTACAATAATTATAATTAATTTTTCCCTCAAATAAAAAACATTATTCATGAAGGTTTGGAGGATTTTAAAAATCTAAATGATAATGTAAGTGTAACCATTATCTACTCGTGGAGGAATAATGATGAATCACAAGTGTTTATATATTCTTTCACATTTTTCGTACTTGTATGTATGTCTTCTTAGTTCTTGCCTATACAAATACTATATTAGTTTATTTTAATTTTGGACAACAACATGTTAAGTAAAATTTATCGTAGTAATGATAATAAGGAACTCTCATAATAAAAATAAATAATGACTAAAACTTTTTTTTAAACTTATATAGAATAATAATACAAAACTATATATTTAATATAGAATATATTGTGTATATTAATATGGTTATTGTATTTTATGATAAATCTTTTAGTGATTAAACTTTAAAATTATCAAAATAAATTTTTTCTTAACATGTCGAAACGTGTTATCCATGTGTATACCCGTGAAGAATCCGTTATTAACGGGTTCTTATCGGGTCATTATCGGGTGATCCGTTAAGTTATTGTGTTGATCCGAAACCCGTTATTTTCGTATTATTTTTCTTGTTGTGTCATCATATCGTGTCAAAAACTGCCAGGTCTATAATAATAGTATTTGATGTATTATAAAGTAAGGAATTTTATTTAGAATAGTTTCAATGCGAAGTATTGTTAATGATGTTGTGAAGTAGATTCCTCCTTATATTGTGTACGTAAAGGATAAAAGAGGAAGATTCCTCCTTATATTGTCTTCTTTGGGATGGGTATCATCATCTAGGAAGACTAACACAACTTAGAAAGTAAAGCTGTACAGACATAACTCTTTTTCACCACCGCTTTGGATCGTTCCTAATACATCATAGAGTACACGACATTTTAGTGAAAATCCAACTGTTTTCTTTTTCGTTGCAGTTCTTAGATACAAGCAAAATAATAGCAATTGTAACTCGTAATTTGGTGGGACAAGAAAATGAACAATTGGTATTTCTTCAATTTATATGCATTTGAACTGGTATGGTCATCCGTACAGCATTGAATAAAAATTCATATTCCGAAAGGCAGAAGAACGAAAATAATACATCTTCAGCGGGATTCCACATCTAGAGGCTCTTTTCTAGAGTAACATGAGATAATATTTTGTGTTACCCTAGCAATGGTTAATTCTTTGTACATTGATCTCACCAGATGCAGATTATGACTCTCCAAAGCTTATGCGTCCTCCTGGCGATTTTGCCAAGTTTACGGGCGATGAAATTCGGTAGTAAAAATACAGGGCGCGGAGCAGCTGGAGGAGTGTTTTCTCTCACAGGAACGACTTCAGTGATTAAAGAAGTTGATACTCCATTGCTGCTGCTGCTGCTTTTTCTAAGATAGAAGCTTCGGCTACCGACATCTCCAATTACTTCAGATTTATCCAAACCTATTCAATCAAAATGGTCATGATCAACAAAATCTGCAATTCTTGTTAGAAAAGCACAAAATCAAACAGAGCCAGCAAACAACTTCTTGTTATTGCCTTGGTCAAGCATATGGTGAAAATTTTGAATCATTCAACACGGAAAAGATTTCACTAGATCCAAAGCATAATTGAAAGCATATAAATTAAAAACCGAAACCCAGTAAAGGACGTTATTGTCCGATTGCCCATGTGCCACATTTCTTGTAAGTTTGGCTTTCATATAATATAGGAACCAACAAGAAAACAATGTTGGCGGAACAACTTGCCAATGAATAGGGACGAAATTATTTGGCTTTTAGTATACCCTGTTGACGGTAACTTTCACAATAGTTCTGGCGAGTTTGATTCCTATAACACTATTGTTTCGGTAATATGAGTTCGATAGATTTGAGTTTAGTCTATTAATTGTAGGACCCTTCAATTGTTTCTTTTTTTTTTCCCAATGAGGAACGCTAGCTATCAACCAACGGGAAATCGTATTAACGTTGTCATAAGTTCATTGTTTAACTAAAGAACACGATTCGTCTCTCATTGGATAACAAGTTAGATGACTAAATGGATTCATCTTTAGGCAAATTCTTTTTGTAAAGATAACCGTTAAAGGGTGACTCAAAAATAAACGTTTTGGATTGTCAAGTAATATTGCAAAATTTACAAAATAAAGGAGAATGTAAAAAGTGAAGGTACAATGGGGAAAGGTAAAGAAAAATCACTTACTTTGAAGGCTGAAGTAAGACTGATGCAACTCAAAGGACAATGCCTCGTGATCAAGCTTCGGAGTTCGACCTTCTTTGCTATATTTGTCTACAACAAGCTTAATTGTTTCTTCCACTGTAGATCCTAATTTAACCATGGCGCGCACCGGTCCGGGGCTTCCTTCAACTGACACATTCAACACCACCTTTGCATCTTTCTTGTATCCCTACATTGCATTTGCAAACCACATATCAGCTCCTTAAGCCATTGTACCGGAATTTAGACCCACCCAGCAGCAACCCACAAAGGCATGCGGTCAAGTGAAATAAAACAAACCAGTCATGCCTAAATTCATTAAATTAATAGGATTGAATCCCTTTTTTTTTTTTTTTTAACAAACGATATTATGGGCTTAGCCTACTAGCAATAATATGGTTCAAATTTGTTTTTGGTGAAATTCGAACTTAGACCTTTCGATTCTTGTTAAAGACGAATTTGAACTCTGATCTGATGTAAGTAATATCGTTTGTTTAAAAATAAAAAATAAAAAACAAACAAGGAAGGTTGAAAATTTTAATTGTCACTGCGTTTATGGTTTTCAATTTAGCCAATACTTTTCAGAGGAAAATGAAAATTTTATTTTTAACCCTAACTAAATATAAACCATTAATTCAAAAAATAAAAAAACGTGCCACCAAACAATCCCACCTACAATTCAACTCCAATTCTTAACAGACAAACCAAAATTCCGTTCCCAAAAAACACAGTGAATGAAAAATTCAAAAGTTACAAAAAATTATAAGCAAAAAAGGAAACTTTTAAACGTTGACCGTACCTCGTTCTTATGGGGAGAGAAGGGCAGGGGCTGCACCATCATCAGAGAAGGAGAGGAAGCAAAGATGTCCGTACAAGTGTGAGGCCTGAACAAAACACCCTCCGGCTCCGACAGCATGGCCGGACCACGAAGACCCTCCTTCTCCTCCTCCTCGTAGAAATCGCTGCCAATTGACCCCACCAATACGGGAACGGAAGAGCATCGCTTGAGAATCTCAATAGGCTTGGAATGGTGCTGGTGGTGCTGGTGGTGCGGGTGGTGCTGCTTGGGCGATCGCCGAGATTGATGGGTCCTCCGTTGCGTCGACGGAGATAGGTTCGGCGGTCTGGTTTTCTGGCCTCCGCTCACTTGAGATCGTCGCCGGAGACCCCTTTCTGACATAAAAGTAAATAATCGTAGCAGAAGATATGAATAGTAGGGTTGAGATTTGTGAAGAAATTATATATGTTTGTTTGGTTAATGGGTTTTGGAAGCTTTGAGAGGAGAGAACTGAGAAACGGAAGAGAGAGAGAGAGGAGGAGGAGGAAGTTGAAGAGGGAAGTAAAGTAGTTGGTGGGTAGATTTTGCGTGAGAGGGAAGAGAAAGATTTCCTTTACTTTCTGGTTCGTGCTGCAAGCGCGTGTCTACTAACTGCTGCTGTTAAGGTTTTACCGCATTAAATTTATAAATAAAATTTTAAAAATTTTAAAAATATAAAAGTTGATGATTAATTTATTACTTAAATGTTAATAAATTTATTTATTTTTATTAGTGATATATTATTTAATTTAAAATTTTAATCTCTTTAACATTACATTTTACCCCTTAGCTTTTTGGATGAAAAAAAAGACTAAAAACAGCAGCCTGAGCAAACTTATTCAACTATAAATTTAAATCAAAACATCTCAAGTTGCCCCTTTCATTTTTTTCTTTTTTGGTGTTATTATTTATTTACTTCTATTTTTTTTTTCTTTGTCAAAAGATAGACTAAATTCAGGGCCTATCTCGTCCCAAACAAATAAACCACCATGTTTGTTAGTACAGGTGGCAACCGTGTGAGCAACCAGGTTGCTCCCCCACAGCACAAACCCTATTTTGACATCTCCAATATGCTTCACCAAAGAATCAATATCAAACAGAAGACATTCCAAATCAATATCCACTTCAATCTCCTTGTTAATAATTCGCAATAGAACCTGGACATCCGATTCAATCTCCACCTTGGTAAATCCTTCGTTATTGAAGTTTACGTCACTACTTTTGATTGGTGGGTTCGTGTCTTAGGCCAGATGTCCACAATGTCGAGTTGTTTAGGTGGTGGCGGTGCTTCTTTCATGCGACTTGCCTCAACTAAGAGAGAAAGATGATGCTTTATGTCTTTATGCTTTATATCTTGTCCAAGATGAAATTTTATAGGATGTCATAGTAACGGTATAATCATGTGGTGTTATGCAAAAAAAATTTGTGTAAATCTCAGTTTACTACTCTTAAATTCCGTAGTTTTCAACATTTAGTACATGAAGTTTTTTTCATCCCAGAGTCATACCTAAAGTGTTAATTTTAGGGCAGTCTCATACATTCATTAGTTTGGCTGTTAAGTCTCTCGTTAACTGATGACGTTGCGCCCATGTGTATAATGACTGGACGCCATGTGTCATTAAAAAAATATTAAAATATTAAAATAATTAATTAAATAAAATATTTATAAAAAAAATAAAAGGAAAAATTAGTATCCGGTCCCTAGTTCTTACTGTTCATTGACTAAGACCTTATTAGTTCTCAAATTTTGATTCAAGTCCCTAGCATTAATGTAATAATGAATTTACATGTTTATTATATAATTTTTTAATATAAAAATTAGTAATTAATTTAGGGTTTAATACTCACACCTCTATTAAACTTCTAATTAATTTTCAATTCAAACATTTCCAAAATAATAAAAAATTAAATTAAATTAAGTTTGTACCTATTAGTTTTTTTTTATATATAAAAAGATTCACAATTTTTTAATCTTAAATGTACCCATTCATATAATTTTTCAATTTTTTTAATCTTAAATGTACCCATTCTCAAATATATCAATTTGTTATATGTAAAATGTACCTTTTTTTTAATATAAAATCCATTCAAATTTTTTAATCTATGTTTAAACTTATATGGGTACATTCTTTTTCATTGATTTGGGAATGTATCCATGTTTTGGTACAATAACTTTTTTTGTTAATTTTGGTTAATGTACCCATACATATATGTACACACACACACACAATATAATAGAGAGTATAATTTATTTTGTTAATTTTGGTTAATGTACCCATACATATATGTATACACACACACACACAATATAATAGAGAGTATAATTTATTTTTATTATTTTTAATCCCATAAATTATGGGTTTTATTTAAAATCTCATTAATATAAACAATTACAAATTTCAATTTTTAATTTTTAATTAAAAAAATATAGTAACTTACATTATTACATTAATGTCAAGGACCTCAATCAAAAACTAAAAACTAACAAGGTTTCAATCAAAGAATATTGATAGTTAGGGACCGCATCCAAAGTGTCCCAAAATAAAAACTTAAAAAAGAAAACCAGAACGCCCTTCGTCTTCCCCACCCAACACCCCTCCACCCCCTCCACAACTCCACCCCCTTCGTCTTCTCCACCCGAGCACCCCTTTCTCCCATCCCCTATCACCCACCCCTTGCCCACCCGAGCCACCCTTTCTCCGATCTACTCCACCAAATCAAATGTCAGAAAACCCAAAAATATATAGAACCCTTCTCCCATCCCCCATCACCCACCCATTGTCTTCTACCCAGTTAAAATTTAAGAAAAATATTAAGTAAATTTAAGAAATTAATTTACAAAATTGCAAATTTAACAGACAAAAAACATTAAGATAAAGAAATGACCCTTTTGGGGTCTTTAGGAACACCATAGCCGCTGCAATACACCCACCAACACTTGCATGAGGCTATCGCCCACCTTTGCCTCCTTGAGTGTGTCCGGAAACCGCCACTGCACGCAGTCCGACACCACTCGGGCCAGAGGAATCTGGTTCTGCCCCTTAGAGCTCTCCATCTTCATCTTCACTCGCTTCGAGTTAACTCGTTTCGACTGCTGGGACGAGATACTTGCTTTGCGCGCCTGGGCCACGGGAGCTTGTCGACAGCAATGATTCGAGTCAAATCTTGGAACCGGGTCAGTGAAGGGAGTGCCTATCCCATCAATGAAATCAATCAAAGTAAGTAATTTTCTTTTAGGTTTAATGGGTTTGATTTCTTATCGCGATTTCATACGTGGGGTGCTTCTGGGGATCTGAAACTCCTACACATGGAGGGGATGGAGGGGTGGAGCCATGGAGGGGATGGAGGGGTGTCGGGTGGGGAAGAAGAAAAAGGTTTTGGGTTGGTTATTTTTATTTTTATTTTTTAATATTTTTATTTAAGGGAACTTTAACGAAAAGCTCCCGGTACTGTTCACTTTAATGAAAAACCACATTTTTATACTAAAAAGTCAATCATGATACTATTCACTTTACCCTTTATTTTGTCTTTATCGTTAAAACTCAAAGTTTTCAAATCATTTTCATTAGTTTTCCTTTTATTGAATTAATTTTTTTAATTTTTTTTAATTTTTTTAATTTTTTTAATTTTTTTAATGACACGTGGTGCCCCAATCATTATCCACATAAGCGCTACGTCATTAGTTAACATGAGACTTAACAACCAGACGAACGGATGTATGAGACCATCCTAAAAAACTTCATGTACTAAATGTTGAAAACCACGAAACTTGAGAGTAATAAACTAGATTTACCCAAATTTTTTCCTTCTAAATTTGAGTTTAGGATAGGGTGTTGATTCGTTGAAGCCAAGGGGGGAATGGTGTATTAAAGAAACTAGGCCATGGAGTGCTTTGGTGGCATGTGAATGTTATGTTGTTACGTATTGGCTATGTTATGTTGTTTGACTATCAATATACTATGATAGAAATGTTAGTAATCTTTGCATTAACTTTTGCAATTGAATATTTTCACTTATTCGCATGATATGTGTCCTATTTTACACACATAAAAAAAGACTTTTAAAAATTACATTTTCCATTTTTCATCGTTAATTCCAAGCCAAAAACATTAAAGGTCTTAGTTTTTGTAAAATGCGACACGTGTTATTTGAAGAAGAGAAAAGTCCAAATACAAATGTTAGTGCGAAATTTCTAGTATTAGTAAAAGAGTAATGCTAAACTTACCTTATATTTGTATCATCATTTGGTAAGTCCTACCTCTATTAGAAAGATAGTACAAATATGTGGATGAGGATCCTCTCCATATCCTCTTTGTGAGGATCTTAGGGATCAATTTATCTTAGTCATTCATCGTACATCGTGCAGCCAACTTTCGTTAGATAATATCTACGGTTAATTTTAAATAAAAAATTAAAAATGATTTCTGATCACAAGATGATTGATAAACGGATAGGATGAACTGAACTCTAGGATACTCACAAAAAGAATCCTGATAGGATCATGTTCTCAAATATATGGTAAAAGTTGCATTTTTGTTAATAAAATACTTTGAGGCTCTGTTTGTTTGAAGAAATTTTTAGTTGTAATGGGAACACGAATGATACACCACATATTTTTATGCCAGTGGTGGAAAATTTTAATTTTTAAGTTATTAATTTTTTAACACACATAACTCACAATTTATATAGGAACACGTGGTATACTATCTCGTGTGACGGTCACACTGAAAAATCTCTCGTTTGTTAGGCAGTCTTGATCATAGTCTAAAATATCCATAATATCCCGATATTTCCATCGAAATTTCCGTATTTTTGGACTACCGATATTTTTTTGAACTACTGATATTTCTGATATCATCGATATTTTAGACCTTGCTAAGTCACTCATATATCTTACCATGCAATGTATAAAGTGTAAAATATTGTACTAATTCATTATATATAAATGATTATGGTGTGTTTAAACTTCTTTCATTAATTACTACATATTTTCTACACTCACAATGTTTGCCAGCTCGCTATATTATCAACTTAAATCAGTTATATCTATCATGCAATGCATTTCCTTCCAATTTTTTGTGATAAACTAATAGATAATTGACTAAATAAACATCCTGCAAAGTTTCAATAAAAATTTCCAAGTTTTTCTTACAATTTCCGTGGTTTTTATTCAATTTTTATCGATATCGATAATATCCCGATATTTCCATCGAAATTTCCGTGTTTTTTTACTACTGATATTTCCGATATCATCGATATTTTATACCTTGGTCTTGACAAGGATTGGCTTAACTTAATTGAATAATTTTTTTGAGTTGGGTATGGAAAAATAATTACGAATTCAAATAAAATATTCAATGAAAAGACGAAAGCATATGAAATTAAAATAAGAAGTTCATTACCCAATGAAATTGCTTCCACGCCAATTTACTTAGTTTCAATTATTTTGGGGAGGTTCGCATATGAACATCTAGATGACAAGTACTAGCAATATGTAATAATATATATATATATATATATATATATATATATATATATATATTGACATTTCGGTCGTAGATATTGACGGAAAAGGACCATCTGGATCTTTTTCATTAAATTCACCCAATCAATCAATCCAGGTCCTTGAAATTTAATCTAACGGCTACAAACAAGGAGCCCCTTTAAAAGTTATAATAACTTTAGCCGTTGGATCAAATTTCAAAAGCCTGAATTAGATGATTAGATGGATTTGGTGAAAGGGATCCGGAGATAATTCATTTCCGATATTGACAAAACAAATTACTGTCCACTCATAAAAGCACAAAGAAATGACCTCTAATTTGTAGTATACTCTCATTATCGTATATTTTAGCGTTAATCTCAATTTACTATTTTGATGTTTTTTTTTTGTTTTTAACATTTCATACTACTTTGATGATATGACGCTCACGTAGACAATGATTTGGCATCAGATGTCAATATGGCCCACGTGAATATTAAAAAATTAAATAAAATTAAAAATGGTGATGCAGTGCAACGGTGGTGTGGTGACTATGGTTGTCTGTTGCCAAAGACGTGAAGAAAGAGGGAAGAGATGGGCTTGAGATAGCGACAGAGGAAGAGAGAGAGAGAGAGTCACGTCATCAGTTAACAGAGGTTCTGACGGAAAACTTAAAGGATATATGAAAGTGTTACAAAATTATGACTTTAGGTACCTGACTGAGATAAAAAAAATGTATGAAATATTAAAAACCAAAAAAATTCAGAGTAATAAACTTAGATACATCCTATCATTTATGTTAAGAAATATATTTTAAGAAAATTGTGGTCACATCATTCAATCTTAGTTCATAATAGATAGTTATTTAAATTTTGTCATTCTACTTTCTTCTTGACGCTTGGATAAAAATTAAACAATAAGTGACCACAATTTCTTGAATTATAAAGTTTAGGAGAACAAAACTGCTATGTGATGATAAAAACATTGAAAAGAACAAGAGAAACGGTAAAAAGACTATTTCAAAAGTAAAATTCTGCATGAATTCTCTGTCATTATGTTTTTGACACAAAATTTTATAATATTGACGTAGAAATTAATGTTAAAATGTGAGGTAACAAAAAATTTATAAAAAAATCTCTTTAAAAGTATTTCCTTAGCATTCGTCAAAGAACAACAAAGCAAACACTAAGTTCCATATTCCGTCAAGCCAATGAGGCCACGAAGACGGTGACTTCTCCAAGATTTAAAGTAGATGAGATGCAGAAAATCAAGGGACACATCACGCTATGGCCAACAAATTGTAGTCGACATATCTACTTTGTTTATTCTAGAGAGTCAAGTGAAATTGTAAACTAAATTATCTTTTGGGGTCCTTAAGACTTATAAATAAATATACACACATATATATTATTTCTTTTAGGTATAGGCACTTTTCAAGTAGACATATACACAATATTCCGTTTTGCAATCACAATGCATTTTATGTTCAGTCACAAATCACAATTTAAAATATATAAATTTGTGGTCTAAACATGTGACAACACACAAATTGAACGATGTATTAACTAAAGCTGAGCGAGGTTTTTGAATGGATGGATGGCAAATTACGTGAAGAAGTTTATTATTTTTTTAAAAGAATGATGCAATGACGTTTAACTTGAGTAGCATTTATTTTAGTTCTTTGTTTGACTTTTGAATTGACATCTAAACTAAAACGTTGTAGTAAATCTAAAGTCCTTTGAGGTTTGGTATGTCATCTCAAAATTCCTTTTAGCACTTTAAGCACTCGAGTAGGTTTGGAATGGTATATTTTCTAGACTTACAACAGGGGCTATAAAAGTCAATGACTATATTCTAGATTTTGGAATTAGCATTTTTTTTTTCTAGACTAATTTAGATAGTAAATGAATGCCTCATTCTTAAATATTTTTTTTTTTTTTTTTTCAAATGATAGACTGATATTATTAATGATTAAATGTGAATCGATACGTCATTTATATTTCTTAACCACAATAACTGCTAAAGAAATGTCTTAAGTTTCAGACCTGTGGATCACATTAGAAAACCATATAAAACCAACCATAGTACTCGATGTTAATAGAGTCGTGGTTTGTTTAAAAATATTACAGATTTTAGTTATGCAGCCTTATATCTGACCCACGATTAGTTTGTTGTGCATAATTTCTTTCTACAACTTTTCACATACAAACATAACTCATTAACAAGTAGTTACGCTTCATCAGTTATATAATCAAAATAAACTAATATAGTAGGGCCCGTCTGATAACCATTTCATCTATTACATAATTTGTTTGTTTTTTTTTTTGTCAAACTAAAAACTGAAAACCGAGTTTTGAAAATTAAAAAAATAAAGTAATTATCAAATGACTCTTTAACGTTACCATTTCGTGGCCCATCAAATAAATAACAAATTCTAATCGAACTGCTTTCTCAATCACCTGTAAATTCAAGGCCCAATCCGCTATTTGACCCTATGATTAATAGAAGTGAACCTTTTATCTTTATTTGGCATCCAGGCAAAGAACTCATGCGAGTAAAACAGTAAAAGTATTTGCCAGCTGAGGACAGTCCGCACAACCCATCTTCTGTATAAATTCTAACCCAAATCCTGCCCAACTATTTTGAATGAGGATCCTCCTTTGTGAGAGTCCGCGATCACTTTATCGTGTCAGTTCATTGTTCATCGTACATCGTGCAGTTAGTTTTCGTCAGGTACTGTTTGTGTTCAATTTTAAATAGAAACATTCAAAATAATTTCTGACCGCATAATGTACGATAAACGAACACAATAAAATGATCTCCGGAATTCTTACAAAGGGAATCCGGATAGGATGCTATTCCAACTATTTTGGCCAAAAAAAAGAAAAAAAAAACAAAACCATCCCAAATCATGGATGTGCATGTTACATGTTACACTCGTGATTTTGTAGTTGCACATTTGCTCACATGGAATCCATCCAGCTACAGCCTGGAATCTTGGCGAACCCCTTCTTCTCCATGACCTTTCTCAATCTCCTCTCATCGTCCCATCTCGCAGCAGAAGCATAAATGTTGGCAAGAAGAGCGTAATAACCGCTTTTATCAGGCTCCAACTTAAAACAATTCCGAGCAGCAGTCTCCCCAAGCTCAACATTGTTGTGTAATGAGCAAGCAAGAAGCAAAGCTCCCCAAACCCCCGCTTGAGGCTGCATTGGCATGCTTCTTATTAGCTCAACTGCTTTGTCCAACTGTCCTGCTCTGCCTAAAAGGTCGACCATGATTCCATAATGATCGCCCGATGGCTCAAGTCCATGTTCGTTCATGGAATTAAAGCATCGGTAGCCTTCTTCAACTAGACCGGCATGCTTATAGGCAGTTAGCAGTCCAGTGTATGTTACCACATTGGGGCAAATGTCGGCATTTACCATCTCTTCAAACAACTTGGTTGCTTCGACTGCCTTACCATTTATGCCGCATCCCAAGATCATTGCAGAATATGCAACTACATCTCTCTTTTTCAAGCCGTGAAACAACTTATATGCCCTATCAATGTCTCCACATTTTGTGTACAAATCAACTAAAGCGGTAGCCAAATGATCATCTAATTCAATTCCGTGCTCACTCATATAGAACTCAGCCCACAACCCAAATTTCATATCTCCCAGTTGAGAACTAGCAGATATAACACTAGCCAAAGTCATCTCATTTGGTTGAATATTCACTTCCAGTTTAAGCATCTGGTTGAACAGTTCAATGGCCTCCTTTGGTTGGCTATTTTGTGCATAGCAAGCTATCATGGCATTGAACAAGAGCACATCTCTTTCACTCATCTGATCAAAGAGTTGACGAGCGGACTCAACATTGCCGCATTTTGAGTACCCGCTAATCATCGTGATCCAAGAAACATTATTTCTTAACGGCATGGCATCAAAAATGACTCTAGCCGATTCCACTCTTTCACATTCCACATAACCACTAATCATTGCATTCCAAGAAGCCAAACTCCTCTGTGGAATTTGTTGAAACAAGAAATATGCCTTGTCCATATTTCCCATCCTCGCATACCCCGAAACCATGGAATTCCAAGACACAACATCCTTATTTGGAATCTCATCAAACACCTCCTGAGCCTCCTCCATATCCCCAGATTTCATATACCCGGACAAAACAGAATTCCAAGAAACAACATTCTTCTCAGGCATTCCATCAAACACCTTCCGTGCAGTTTTCATGTCACCGAGTTTCGAATAAAAATCAACGAGCGCAGTTTGTACAAACACACCCACAAAACCCAAATTTATAAACCTGGGCATGGATCAATATCCCACCCAATTCATTCAAAATCCTTGCACACGCCCTCAGAGCAGAGGACACAGCAAAACTAGATGGGCAAAGTCCGAGCCTTTTTATCTTAAGGTAAAGAGAGAAAGCCGTTTCGTACTGGGAATGCAGAGAGAAGTAACGAATGGCGCAGCTCCATGAAAATGCATCTGGGTTTTTGAGATTGTGAAGGATTAGGTGCACGTAGCGGGCTGTAGCTGCAGAGAAGGTGAAATCTGAGTGGAGGACTTGGCGGAGCAGGAGGATTTGGAGGTGGTGGAGGCCATTGGATATAATGGGTGCGTGAACTTGTTTGAGTTGCTTCAGGGTTAGAGATTTCTCCAGTAGAAATCTAAGATTTTGACCATTTGGATTCATCTTCTTGTTCTCTTCATGATTTACCACAATGAAGTGAGAACTTCTAGGATCGAGTTTTCAAAACTCCAAGTTTTTGGGAAGTTTTTACTTCCAGATAGCTGCAGAGAAGGAATGGAAGCGCTTGGGCTGGGCGCCGAGTTAAACTTGGGTGTCCTTGGGTTGGGCCTCTGTTTTTTTTTTTTTTTGGTTTTTGGTCAAAAAGTCGTTCTGTTGTTACGATAGAAACTTCGAATTTTTAACCTAATTTAATTTTAACTAATGTTCTCATACGCTCTTTTTATCTAAGCAAACTTTACAATATGTTTGGATGGAGAATTTCTAAATTTTCATAGAATTCTAAATGACAGGAATTACAATTCCCAGTAATTGAATTTCTGTTAATTGAAATTTCAGTGTTTGGATGTTGGATACATGGAAATTGCAAAATGAAGGGAATTATAATTTCATTGTTTGGATATTCCCTTGAATTTGTATTCCATAGAAGAATACAAATTTGAAAAAAGAAAAATATTAAACTGGTAACAAAGTCATCAATGATAAAGGTCATCAAACCCCCAAGATTGGGGCTGCCAAACCCGCACTATAGGGAAAACTGTCTAAATTTTCCAGCAATTAAGAACTTATCAAAGGTTTGCAATAATATTTCATTGGAAAAAAATGTTTGCAATAATATGATAAGAGTTGATTGAAGTAGGAAAATCCCTGTAAAGCTCACTTGCAAATATCAACCAACATTCATGACATGCAAGACTTTTATTCTAACTAAATGTCTTACTGAAAAACACTAAAATGAGAAACATAATGAAAACAATCTTATGCGCCTCGTGAAGTAAGCAATAATACCATATTCTTTTTCTTCTCAATTGGGAGAGTCTTCAACATGAGAAATTGCTTGTCATCTTCGATCAACCAAGCACATGCTTTAATTTGTTCTTCTTCGCTGAGATCTGGTATTGCATTTACTTCATCACATACCTCTGTTGGATCAAGTTTCTTTGTGTCTGCAGAAATATAGTCTTGAAATGATGAAGCCATCTTGGCAAGTGAATCTGCAATCACATCTTTAGGAGTGGTTGATTTTCTTTTTGTATGAGGCACATCAACAAAACTTGCTGCCTTTCTCTTGCTTTGAGTCTTTTGACCATTGGCTAAACTAGGTGAAATCTCATTAATAATTTCAATATCTTCTAAACCTTATGCATCACCAACCAAATCTATATGATCAGATTCATTATGTGGAGGAGTCATAATCTCCACGGCTTCTACACCTGGTGGTGGTAAAAAACCATGTGTATGGTCATCTCCCCAAGGAGGATGTAAATTGACATCAGAAAGCAGGTCTTCTGCAACAAATCGTTGAATATGAAGAATATTGTTGTAGAAGGATTTGATATGGATTACACATTGGCACAGTACAACCAGAAACCTTCAAGTCTCTTACATACAATTAAACTATCCGGAAGTTGGTGTACGATCTAGGATACCCTCGTGAGGTTTGCCTGTTCTGTCATTTGTTCTCACATTTCAGGAAGAAATTGATGTTGCTAACATATAAGATATTCAATTAATCTGGTTTAATATTGCAATTAATCCAGTAGTGTTAGTGCTTTTTAATTTCAACACTTAGCAGACATCATTTACTACCATTTTAAATTATGAGCAAATCATTCCACCCTTCCCAGATAAGGTTACAGAGCAAATAGACAATTCAATCGGAGAAAATAAAACATAATAAGATCACACCCAAATAGCAATTCAATCGGACAATTCACCCTTCCCAGATAAGATAGCACCCAAAAATACATGATGCTTACAGTAATAAGATCGCACCCCAAAATACATGATCGCACCCAGATAAGGATGGAATGAAACCAGAAATACATGATGCTTACAGGAGGAAGATCGCACCCAAAAAGCTAAAAATAATTCAAGATAGAAGAGAGTAGAGACACTGACCTAGAACAAAGGAAGAAGATGATTGCACGATCGAAAATCCCTTCGAAGATTGGAGATTTAACAGAGTGAAGATTGTGCAGCCCTTTTGTTGTGAAATTTGGCGGTAGATATCCGAGTTTGGCGCGCACAAAATATCCCCGCAGATGAATTCGGGATTCTCATCGTTGTTGGAATTGTGAAATTACACCTCTTTAGGTGGAAATTAAACTCGGAATTCTTCATCCCCAATTTCCACCTTTTTTTCCCGTAGAATTTGCCGTTTCTCGCGTTGCAAGGTTCCCAAACGAGGGAAAACTGTTTTCCCATCCTAAATTCCCTAGTTTAAGTGAAATTCTGTTTTATTTTACCATATCCAAACGGAGTGTTAGTGCCTTTAGTAGTATTAGGCATCTTAGGAAAGTTATGAATCGGGAAGGGAATAAAAAGACATTATATAAATCAGTTCCCATATCCAATCAAATTTTTAGATAATGTAAATCTCATATACTTTTTTAATTTTATATGTGTTACTAAACGTCATGAACGAGAATAGTTCCAAACTTCGAATACCCATACGGTAGTAAAGGAAGAAATTAGAACAATTCCACCTATTCCAAGATGATCAACTTCTTACATAAGTTTTTTGAGAAGTAAACAGTTGCATTTGCAGTGGACGATCAAGCACTGTTGGAAAAGTTTCTCGTGCAAGTCGTGTCACTCATGATTCACGTCCCATGTAAATTTAAGGAAGGAGAAGGGGCATTTACAAATACTAGGTCAAAAAAATTCTCCACAATGATTCGCAGTTTGATCACAATGGTGATAGAACCTTGACATAGATTATTAGATAGTTGACGATGGAATGACTGACTGACTGAGTGACACTTGGCATAATATCCAAATATATTCCTTTCGAGGGGATTTAGATCTCATCGAAAATCTTAAGGATCTTCATATTCTATCCGTTTATCGTATATTGTGCTGTTATAAATAATTTTAAATATTTTTATTTAAAATTAAACACAAACATTACCTAACGAAAACAGATCGCACGATGTACAATGAACGGATAAGATATCAAGATCCTCATAGAGAAAATCCAGAGAGAATCCTCAAAGCATGAAGATTAACAGTAGTGTTCTGTTATTACTGATATATCTCATCTGCAATCTGCTAATTAAGCAAGCTCGCATGCAATGCTAATCATTTTTGGCGCATATCGATGACATATATTTTGAGTAGGAGACGACAAACACAAATAAAAAGTGGTCGACTTTCTTTAATATGTTGAAGTCCACGCACCATATCATTTGCAGGCATCACCATCGATCATCATTCGTGAAACTGAATCGTACTGATCCAATGGTGGCTGGTGGGGGCCGATCATCATTCATCATTCGTCATTCCTCACCACAATGTGGAGCTTTGGCCCATCACTACATGATTCTATGTTTGATGCGTATATCACTTTTACTGAACAGATGGGGAGTTACATAACTAGGAGAGTGATTGTCTGTTAGTATCAATCTAGATTATTTTGTTATCCAAAAAAATATATCAAAATTCTGTACTTAATACATTGTCGATGTTTCAAAAAATATATATCAAGAAAGAGACATTTGAACATAAACTGTTTGTCTTTTCGAATGCCGCAACACAACATGTTATTTTATTAAAAATTTATTGCTACAGTTGGATACTGAAAACACAAGAATGATTTTGAATAATGAACAGCCATGCATGCGACCAGAAAATTTCACTCTCCAGAGCTAATGACAAATGGTATTTTATTACATATGCTTCAAGTAAATGTGTACTAATGATGATTCATGACGTATGAGTGTAAACCCTAATTATTTAATCTAGACATGCTCGTGCTTCATCTTCTTTCTTAACCATTTCTTTTCTGCAAATACATACATTATCAAGCAGACTTTCAATTCAACACACCGAATGAAATTATGACTGGGAAATAAAAGGAAAAGTTGGGTCAAAGAAAGTAAGATCATGCTTTTTCAAATAATTTTTAACTTCGCCATCGGCCGACTTCTTCTTTTCATGAAATAGTGATTCTTGCTCCTTTTCTTCTTTCAACAATGTCAGGTTTATGCTTTATTAACCTGAATAGTTGATCATCTATCTGATTAGATGGAATAGAGTCTGTCCCTTTATATATTTACCCTACGTGAATATAAGCAGCTGGGTTCAAAATCCTTGATTCACGATTTATGGTTTATGCAATCATTGAAGATTTGTACAGCGTGGTCAACCAAAGACTGTTATCATTAATCTGTTCAAGAAAGCTCCATTGAAAAGAATATTAATTCCACATTGCCCGACTTATGCATGGTAGGGTAATGACATCACGAACGATCACTATTCCATAAGTTTCTGCTACAGAAATGTTTAAGAGAAGCTCTCGTTTTTCACTAAAAAGATGAATAAGAGATTACACCTCTTAAAAATTGTTTAAATTGTCATAAGAAACCCTAGTTGCGAAAGAACAACAAAACAGGAAACTACCAAAGTTCTAAAAATAGCAAGAGCTTGCAGTTCTCATTCTCCACTTCTTTTCGGGCTCATTTGGTATGTAGGATTGAATGGATAACTCCCTAATTCAGGGTTGAGGTGAGAAATGAAAAAATTGCAACCAAGAGGGCTAGAAGATGAATTACATAAGAAGAAAACTTAATACATTTCAATCCTCTCCAAAATGGTAGGATTAGAAGGGATGAGTTTTGTTCATGTCTAATCCTCTTCTAATCTCTCCAAATGAAAATTTATTCACTTCTACCTTTAGTGCTTTAAAATTAGAGTTATCCATTCTAATCCAATTCAACATGTCAAACCAGCCCTTCGAGTTTACTGCACCAAAATATATAAGGATGCATGTATCATGAGTCGTTCTTTGAGTTATATATATTATTCTTTTTCTCAAACTGAATCATACGTACATTTAGATAAGCCTTATATTTGTTCATGACATCATTGTCTAGTTCTATTTTTCTGTTGTGGTATTGAATAACATGTTACATGATTATCGTTAAATGAATCAATTAAACTATTTAGCATCCATTCTGACATATATACATGTTCAATGGTTATCGATAGCAAGAAGTAGAGAAATTATAATACAATGAGAATTACCTACTCCAAAATAAGAAAATCATACAAATATCATGACATGGATG